CCAGCGCTGACTGGCGAGACGGACGGGGGGGGGGGGGGGGGGGGGAGAGAGCACCGCCCTGAAATGATGGCAAATAGCACAGAAAGCAATAGCTTCTTTGCTATCTGGAGGTTTTTGTTTTAGTATTCTGCATACTATGCTGCCCCCCTCCCTTTGGGTATTATTCAGTCTGTATAAAGATTAGCTATATAGTAGGCTCTTTTGTACTCTTTAACCCTGAAAACAAAACAGAGCTCACTAAAAAACTTTCCGTTTTCTACATCTCTCTCTAGTGACAATGACGAGAAGCCATTCACCAGCAGCCAACCTTCCCTGAATGGAGACGTAAAGCCACTTGGAAGCGATGACAGTCTGGCCGACTATGGTGGAAGCGTAGATGTCCAATTTAATGAGGATGGTTCCTTCATTGGCCAATACAGCGGCAAAAAGGAAAAGGAAGCCACTGGTGGCAATGACAGCTCTGGCGCAACCTCTCCAGTTAACCCTAAAATCACAATTGAATAGAGAAACACATTGTGAGAGAAACACATAATGAAGGTTATAGGGGAAATATTTAGAAAAGAAAGGGGTAGTTGGAAGATTCTGGACAATTTATTTTTTGCAAACCTATTTACCAATGTGGTTCTAGGTTGGCAAGTAGTATATTGTATTATAAGTCTCTCTTGCACCAAATGTGTTGAACCGCTTTACTTTGTTGGACTACTGAGCAAACAAAATGGACTAAAAGGAAACAATGAACGATACCAATGTATACTGCAAAGGAAAAGTACCATTATTATTTAAGTAAATTAGATAGAGGTAACAATATGGAACAAAAAAAACAAATCATGATGAATGCATATATATAAAATGAAAATTAAAAAAAAAAAACAAGCAAAGGAAAAAAAAAAAAAGAAAATAGTTTCTCACTTTGACGCCAAGTTCTGTGTTCACGTGAACCTGTGTTACTTTTTATGGTGTCTTTTCTTTGTATACTCTTTCCATGTCTTTAGGGTTTTTTGCAATGGACGTGCCAACTCCACAGATTTTCTATGTGCAGCCTGCCAAAAAGAAGAAATATCTAAAGCATAGAACAATATATGCATACATGTGTTTTCCAATCACCACAACTATTCTTCATTTTTTCTAAACTTATCAGTTATCTTCCAATAATTAAGCTAGTTTCTAGGGCCCTCTCAGTAGTCTATTGTAATCATAAACAGTTTGTCCTGGAAGATAAATTAATTTAGAAAAGCATTATTTTTATTACAATGTTTTATTCATAGACTCATCTGGAAGAGAGGTTACATTACCAATTTGTTCTTTAAAGCGTATTTGTAAACACTTCTCTGAAAAACTATTTAATTTGTCTTAAGGAAAGAAGTAACGTAACGTATTAATGTATCACAAAATTAAGGTGGGTTGCAGAAATAATTATGTTAATTATGTTAATTAAGCAGCATTAAAATGTATTAGCATAGTTCAAAAAGTAAAGATGTGGCATAACCCATAGACTCCATACTTTTCCCTTCTTCTGTCTAATTTGTAGACTGATAAAAAAACAAAAAAACATACTTGTTGCTAAAGGACACACTAATTAGGACCATGCATCATGCTATACATAATCTTACAGTCTTACTGAGGAACACCATGTGCATGGCTGGTTTGCAAGCAAAGGAAGTGTTAAGGTACTCACTTATAGATATTAGTTGATACCTGCGATTTCAACAGGATCACATAATTGAGATATTTGTGGGGTTCCTTTAAGTGTTGTGGTTTCTTGTTATTGTTATTATTTCTGGTTTCTTCAGAAATATGTTAATGAAAAGTTAGAATTTTTCATCTGATAGTGTTGGTCCCAGTGGATCCATGGGTATATGAAAGTTTTAAAAAACAGGCCCACATATATGTTTGTTGAAGAAAACCTCTTAAAGCCATCAGATTGCTTATATCTAGGTTCAGAGATGAGCAAATTGGTTTAACTCCCCATAGCAACAATACTGATTAAGATTTAATGATTTGTTATCTGTGGCCATATTGGTGCAAACCCAGATTTACTTTATCACATGACTGCTGCAGATTTCTCAATAGCTCAAGGTACAAGAATAATTTCACTACCATCTTAATATATCAGGTAAATCTAAAACCTTGTTTCTCTTCCATTCGTTGAAGGACAAAGACAAATCTTCATTCAACAGAAGTGTTATACTGCCATCTGCATAAGTAGGACACTAGGCAGAAAAACAACAAAGCACAGCCCTGGGGGCAGCCCCTGCTGGTGGCTCAACCCCCAATTGTCAGCGGTAGCTCAGTTTTTTGCCTAGAGTCGAGTAGTATGGAACTAGCTCCCTGCTGCGGATTTTAGTTCTTTTTCTTTCACTTTAATTTTTCTTTACTTTATTCTTTTATTGATCTTCAGTCAACAGCTGAGCTGGGTGACAGGCTGGATAATATAGATCCTTGTAGTCTCCCCAGCTCAGCCTACGACATCATGCAGATGCTTTGATGCGGGTTCGGCTGCAACAGCCTATCCTCGGATCTGGGGCTGTCTGTGAGTTACCTCACGGGGGGGATGCATAGGTACCCTGTCCTCTACCTGGAATGGTAAGTATTGCTCTCTTCCCTGCTGTGTTGTTATAGGGAGCTGACCTCTACTCCCCCCCCCCCTCCTTCTCTGCTGCAGCCTGCTTTTCCTTTTGTCACTCCCTGAGCCGCTGTGTGCTGACTATGCTGTGGTGTCTGTGTTCACAGACACGCTCTTACTGTGGGGAGCCGTGGTGGAGCACGGCTCTGTGCAGCAGCACTTTGTGTGATCAGGGTGACCACAGCTTGAAGGCTCGGCAGCAGTGATTCCTGGGCTCATCACTGCACGTAGTGGGAGGAGGAAGGCAGGATCCTTGCTGTGCTGTGTGTTTGGGGGCAGAAAGCCTGCTGGCGGTCCTTTTGTGACATCGGTGCAGTGTACACAGGCAGCTCCTGGTGCAGATATGGCTGAAGGGACCGGATGTCACGTTGCAGGTGGCTCTGGGGGGGTTGGGTGCAGCCTTAGTATCACGTACCTGGTAGGGAGACCGAATGTTTGAGGAGGCTTCTCTTGCACCTCGTGTCTTGTGGCCTTTGAGGTTGGGGACAAAGGCCAGGCAGACAAGGAGTGGCACGAGTGCTCAGGGAAATCCAGTAATCGAGGTCACAACAAGCCGGGGTCAAAAGCCAGGAGATCCGATGCAGTACAAAAGGGAGCAGGCAGAAGAATATCCAATAAACGGTCCGAGGTCAAAAGGCAGGCAGCAAGCATGGATGGTTGTCAAACAGGAGCAGGTCAAAATCCAGGGAGTTCAGGTGCATACAGGACAAGGCTAAACAGGATACAAGGAACACAATCAAGCTGAAAAGACAAACAAGCAACTAATGGGCATGTGAGCCGGGTTTAAATAGGGCAGTGAATCAAACAATCATGTCACTTCCTGTGCGCCTTTCCGTGCCAAGTGCGCGTCACTTCCGGTGCGCACTTTGGTGCGTTTTTCCGTGGGAAGGCTGTATACTGCGCATGCGCGTTTTTCCGTGGAAAGAGCGGGACTTTTGCTGACACTCAGGCTACATTGTCTGTCGGGGGGGGGGCTGTTCCTCCTCAGTTTATGGGTCTGCCTGACATTCTCCTCGTCCCTCTCAGGATCTGCTTTAGGGGTCTCTGGGGTCCCGAGACCGTCTGTCCCTATGGAGGCGTTCGCCTCCATTTTGGTATGGGTATGTTTTATGCATGGAACTAGCCTTGACCCGCAAACGGGTCAGGCAGTGATGACAAGTTTGCTCCTTGTTTTTTCGTAAAAGAGAGGAAGGAATAGTCTCCACCCTTATAGGGCTGTGTGTCGAGTTTATTTATATAGGATTCTGCGGATGCTCTGTCAGATACTTCAGTTCTTTTGATACGCACGGTCATGGCGCGCGACCACAGTGTCCTATTATCACTCCTTCATAGGGAATAGAAGCATCCACCACGGGCTCCTACTTAGGCACTTTTCAGTGCGCTACCATTTTTATGGACGGCTTCCTAATGTAGTGGACATCTTTCCTAGTTGTGGACCCTTCTGCGTCGCTTCTGTACGTGGCTACAGTTATTCAGGATGGGGGTTCCCCCTCCTTCGAGGATCCGGCAGACAGAGGAGTGGGTTCCATGTTGAGATCTATGTATATTGTTGCTGGAGCAGCCTTGGTCTCTTTGACACTTGCCGAGTGTCTACTGTTTATGTGGCACTGGTGGCTTGACTGGTCTCCTATATGTCTGAAAGGCTTCACTGGATACCGGACCTCTGCTGTCTAATCTGTATGTGACTGCTTTGTTTTTTGCCATCTTCTCTGGTGCTGGTCGGATTTCCAAAATTGCACTGATGGACCTACCCTTTAAGGGTGACCACTTATTTGAAACTGTGCTGGATGATATCAAACATCACACTGGGCCGGAGGAACAGTGGTTCCTTACGAAGTGGGAGGAGGACCTCGGAGTCAGGTTCTCCCCAAGGGAACGCACAAAATTGCTCTCCTTATCCTACAAATCCTCAATCAGCAACAAATACCAAGAGTCTGGATACAAACTGGTTACCAGATGGTACAGGACACCACAAACTCTACATTCAATGTATCCCCAGACTCCAGACCTATGCTGGCATTGTGGCACCACAGCAGCTGATATCCTCCACATTTTCTGATCATGCCCTACACTCAGTGCATTCTGGGACCAGGTCCACGCTACCACCCAAAAATTCACTGACCACTCAGTCCCTCGAGACCCGGCCTTCTTCCTACTGCACCATAATGACTACTCGACCAAATCCTACAAAAACTCTATAGTCCGTCACCTGGTAAATGCTGCCCGAGCGTGTGTTCCAGCCCGGTGGAAAGTGAGAGGCCTCGCATCAATGCCCCCTTGAAGACATATGGATATAGGCCATGTCAATTGACCCCCTCTTTGTCGTAAGTTTTGTTTATATGGTTTTGTTTGGTTTTGTACCTTTGTCTGCAACTCAAGCTGGTTACATGCAACTGATACCATGTATGTTGGTCGTATCTTGACCCTTTTGAGAAACTGTATATGTACAAGAAAATTGTGAAATGTCCTTGTTAAATAAAGAATTTATAAAAAAAAAAACATCACACTGGGGGGCAAGAGTACCTTCTTGCCACAGCCTAGAAGGGCGGGGAGCCTCGGCGTAAGCAGGGTCTTTCCTTGACCACTCATGAGCATCTTCGTTTTTGTTGGGCAAGCAGACAGAGATATCCCAGTGCCCGATTGCACGAACACCACAAGGGAACAATGACTCGGGTCCCCTGACACATTTTCGGAGGCAAAAAAACCCTAGTCGGACTCAAGTCCAGGAGTAGGCCCGGAGACTCCAGACAAAGCAATAACAATAGAAAGATTTCTGGATGACCAGACCCAGCCGAACTCCTCCAGAGTATGCACGGTAACCAGAAGATTGCATCCAGGTAGGACGAGACTCTGCTTGGAAAGGGAGGGCAGCCTGGGGATCCCCACTGCCCCAGTAATGCCAGAACTAGGGCCAACACCT